ATGGTTTCTCAATATTCTTTCGGGAAACCGTCTATACTTGGCGTCTTTTCCTCATCCATTTGCAGTAGTGCAGTCCAGATCTCCTCTTTACTTATTCTGCGTTCTATCCTCTCCCTCTGCTCTGCCGATAGATGGTTCTCCATAGGATTCAGGAACCTGTCCACTTGTGCAAGGTGTCGGGGGTCCTGTGGCTGAGGGATGTGAAATGAGAAAAGGTCTTGGAAAAACGTTCTGGCTATCTTTACGCAGTGTGTTGTGGTTGTGGCCAGCTCGTCAGTCGTAGGATCAGAAGAGCCTCTATTGTTGTGCAGCGGGCTTGGATTGATGCAAGGCTAAAAAATTGTGAGTCCATGGTTCCTTCAGTGGTCCATTTTGCGAGCTTACCTCTAATTCTGACTCGTTGCCATCTGTATTGGGCATAGTGTAGCAATTGGTCTTTTAGTTGTTGGATGGTGTTCGTGTGCTCCGCTGAAGTGTCATGGGAGATCAGGTTGTGAAGTTGGTTGTGGGTCTCCATTTCTCGAGAGTATCGTTAATTTGCAACCATTTTAGAATAATCTTTGCATTTCTTGGCCAGGAAGAACAGACCATTTGTAAACCATTGGATTTCCGATCCAAAATGGTTCCTTTGGTTGTGCCAATAAGCCCACACGTCTCTTGTGAAATTCCGAAAGCCCTCATTTTTTAATAGTGATGTATTTAGTTTGTAGTAGCCCGGCCCTTGATCGGGACACTTACGGAAGGTGAGAATGATGCCACATGTGCAATGGTCTAGGCCTGGGTATGCGCTTTGCGGAAATATGGCCGAGAGTTGCAGGGCGTTTCGTATGGCTGTCGAGATCAGGACCAGGTCGATCCGAGATTTCGTATGCCTGCAAGGGTCACTAGTGCGAAGGCAGGTGTAGACTCGTTCCTGTGGGTGAAGGTGGCGATATGCGTCGTTCAAGGAAAGAGTCGCGCTGAAATGTGAGATGGTTCTTCATCCTCCTCCACATATTGGGGGTAGTTACCTTGTGGGTTTCATCTGTCCATCCATCTGTCTGGGGCCACGTTGAAATTGCCAGCAAAGATTAGCGAGATGCCTTGGGGTGGGAGTGAGGCTAGGTGGTTGAAGAAGCCCTCCCTCTCTATCGTTGTGTTGGGGGCATACATACAGAAGATGCATATAAGTTCCAGTTCCAGCATAGCCAGAGTGGAAACCCACCGGCCCTGTAGTTCATCAGCGGCCCAGTGTACCACCTCAACTTTGGATTCTGGCGGGATCCATATCGCCACACCTGCAGATGCTGGTGTTACTGCATATGCTCTATAGGACTGGTGTGGCCACACATTTCGATGTGCTCTATGATGGTCGGGGGTGTCCAGGAGGTGTCTCCTATATGCAGATCACGTCTGGCCACCTCCTACCCCCCACTCCCCTCAGTTGGTCCCATAAAGCCTGACATTTAGGGGGGTTGTATGAGGCAATGCCATTCACGTTTAGTGACCGCAGGTCTAAGTCTGCACTCTTCAAACAGCTCTTCCATTCTGGGTTTCTGCAGTACAAGGTATCCAGGTCCTTCCCCATTGCTGCACACATTGGTTTTTTTTTTTTTTTTTTTTTTTTTTTTTTTAATTCTTCTCCATTGCTTTGAGGACCAGTCTACTGTGCACAGCAGCCCGTATCTAAGTATTTTCGTGAGGCACGTATGTAAGTCTTCTGCTGGCCAGAAAGAGCTGGCTTTTATGTGTTGGATGCGAAGGTCCATGAGTGCAGCGTGGGTGAACCACTGCAGGTCAGAGGTCTTGTCTTCTTCGAACAGGATGAAGAGGTCTGTTGTTGCTACCCTTTGTATCCCCTCGAACTGGGATAGCATTGCTTTTGCCCCAACTGGGTAGTTCTTGTTGAGGAAGGTCTCCGCTTTTCCATAAAAATCGTTTTCCCTGAGGCTGGGGAGGGACCAACGGTTGGAAAACCTCCAACCTGGCAGAGTGAAACCTCCTGATGTCGGCGTGAGGCCAATCTCCATTCTGACCCCTGCGTGGCGAAGGGGGATAGCTATCACCCCCCCCTCTTTGGAGAGCGAGGCCTCATAACGTCCCGACACAATTAGATTTCTGAGTTTTTCGGTCCGTTGTTCTTTCGGTGGTCCCTCCTCTTCTTTTGTCTCGTCCCCAGGGGCAGGTTGTGTTGGGGGGGCCGCAGTCTTTTCGCTATCTTCTGCCCCCGGGGGCTGTTCTGGTGGATGGAAACGCACCTAAGCTATCTGTCTAATGCGCTGGAAAAGCTCCGGCCACGAGATGTGCTTCGGGGGGCCCTCCTCTAACGCTCCCCTTACAGTTGGGCTGTGGTCTAGCATACTGAATAACTCTATGTAAGTACGGTCCCAAAAGTCCTGGGAACCATTCCCATGTTGTGACTTGAAGCCGTCCAGTAGCCAGTCAGCTATTGCTTGCAGCTTTTGCTCAATTGCCATTCCTGCAGGGGATGATGTTTCCTCCTGTCCGTCTACCTCCATTGTCTCCACGTCAGGGGGAGGAGGGAGGGGGGACGGGGGTTCCTCTATGTCCATGGGTTGGGGCCCAAAGGCCTCTAGAAATGGGTCGGTTTCAGATTGTGTCGCCGTTTCAGATTGTGTCGCCGTTTCAGACTGTACCTCTTCTCCCGAGCCATTTCCTTTCCCAACACTATCCCTCTCCGTCCCCCCCACTCTATTTTCTTCCCTGTTTTGGAGGGAGTCTTTCTCTGTGTTTTCACTGCTCGCGACCCAGAGGGGGGGGGGCTGAAAATGTGCCGCCGAGACTCTGTGAAGGCGCTGGAGAAAGTCTGGCCATGTGTTGTGAGGAGGGGGTCCCTGTGCCAGAGTGGCTTTCACTAGCTGGCTGCCCTCCATCGCATTGATTAGTTGGGCCTGGGCCCTTCCCCAAAAGCCAGGCGGTGCGTCTACATGCCTCGTCCTCAACCCCTTCATAATCCACTCCGATATATGGGGGACTGTGTAGCCTGCGTAGCCTGTGTTCTGGATTTTAGGGAGGGCGATCGGATTTGCGTCACCCTCTAGAAGGGGCCCAAAGGTCCCACCGTATGGGTCTGTTGTTCCGGTCCAAAGGTGACCCCCGCAGTTCCCCTACGACAGCTGTTCTCTGTTGTTTTTGTTTCTTTGCTGTTCCTCGTCTCCACTCCCCTTCGCTTTCTGCCGCTCCTCAACCCCTCTTTCCACTGCGTTTTTTGGGCTTGTCTTCGTCCGCTGTTTCTCGTTCTCCTGCCCCCTGTTATTTTGCTGTTCTTCAACGTCGACCCCCTCTTCTACGGCCAATACTGAGAACCTATTTGTGTTCTCCCCATTTGTCATCTGTAGGGGAGGCCGCCGTCCGTGGTATGGACACTTAGCCTTGTCCTTGGCTGTCTTGCCATCGTTGGTTCTCTCACCGTCTTGTGGCAGGGGCGATTAGCCGTCCTGCCCAGCGTCTGACAGGTCATTCATATAGTTTCTCGGGTCCGGGCCAAACCCGGGGGGTGGTGAGCTGCAGATGGGATTCAACCGTTTTGGGGGGGACCCATGATGTCGGGGGTTTCGATTGAGGATCTGGGTCGCCCTGTTTGTCCCAGGTCCAGCCAATGGTCTTACCTGCCTCGTCTTTCTTGTCTATAAAAACCCACCCCTCGTGCCCAGGGTCCACAGTGTGCCAGTGTGTACTGCGGAAGGGATCCTGGGACAGCCTACCTGTTGCTTTGTTTTGGTTGATCGGGTGGTGAGGACAAGTGGGTTCTGTATACAAGTGTCCGTACGCATGGCATTTAAAGCACCATGGCCTGAGTTTATGGGCTGTGTGCACCTTGAATTCCTTGTTTCCCACCTTAATACGAATAAGAAAGAAAACCTAGTTATGTTAGTGGTAGAACAGAAGCTTCCTTTTTTTTTCCTTTTTTTTATTTTATAAAAGTCCATGGTGTTGTAGAGGCCAGAACAGAAGCTTCCAATAAAGTAGGAACAAAGCAAGTACATTCCCAACAAGTCCCCACACCCACCAGGGAGGAAAGGAGTTATACCTGCACCATAAGAGTTTGTCGGTGTAGCTCAGTTGGTAACGCGTTCAAGCGGCACTCAGGAGGTCGTGGGTTCAACTCCCATTGCCCCCACGATGGTGCCTGTGGCATGCTTGACGTCTTACCTTCGAGACGGTCAGTTGGTAAGCAAGTACGTGGTAGCTCAGTGGGCAGAGCTCCGGTGTTGCAATGGGGAGGTTGTGGGTTCGACTTTGTCAGCCCACAACTTCCCCTGAGCACAATTGGTTGGTGTAGGTTGCACCCCACGTACTTGTCCCCGAGCCTGGCATAGCGCCCTTACCGACTAACGACCTCAATAGCTCAGTGGGTAGAGCTCTGATATACTAACTTGGAGGTCCTGAGTTCAACTCCGACTATGCTCATTCATCATATCAGCTAAGGGATGATCCTCTACATGGTTTCGGGTGGGGACGTGTGCCTTTCCTGTGGGAAAGTTGATGTGGGATGGATGCTACTCTCTTGGGCAGGTGAGTAGTAAGGGGTTGCTTGGGTGCATGGTGATACCGTGGCAGTCCTATGGTGGGGAGGGTTGCCTTGTAGGGAAACCAATGTCGAATTAAGAGGTGTGTCCTACTCTCAATGTCTGTAGACGCATTTCGGGGTGGTGGGTTATCAGAGGTAGGTTGGGGGTAGTTGTTAGACGACGGTCGAGGTCTCCACCATTACCACTGGTTGATTCTCCCTAGCGAACAGACATAAGCAAGGCTCATCAGTAGCAGAAAGCAACCACACACATCCACATAGACTGATATCACATTAGCTCACATAACAACCAGCATACTCAACAACTAACAGTAGACACATATGATCCGAGCTGTGCTAGGTTAGTGCTTAGAGGGGCTCATAGGTTAAGACCTTGGTTAGTTGACCATTAGACACTGCCTATGAGCGCCCTAAGGGACTAGCTGAGAACTATGTGCCTAGCTCCCGAGAGGTTCCCGTATAACGAGGCTTGTATGCTAGTGCCTCAACTGGGGCTGAATGGGGGAGCTCATTCAGTGGCGGTGCCCGCATCCGCTCTCTGGTCAGGTTGCTCCAGTAGAGAGTGATGTCCCTCACATGAGGTAAGATAGAAATGGAGTGGGGGTGCGCCAGGAGATATATATGGAGAGGAGTGGTGGGATGGGAGTCTCCTGAGTAAAAAAAGAAAAGAGCTCGTCTCCTTTCACAGGGCATGGTGAAGTCAACGTATGGGATTATAACCCCGTAGTCTGCGTCCGCATCAATACTCTATCTCCAGCTCGCTGGGCACGCATCTTGAGGAGGCGAAGGGTCGGGGGGGGGTGGAAAACTACTCAGCCCCCTGGTATTCCACAGGGGTATATCGACATAATAACTATGGCGAGAGTCGTAGCGTCCTGTTTTCCTCGGAGTTACCGAGGTAAATGACGTCAGCTCGCCCGTGGGCCGTAGGGCAGGGATAGGCCTGCCGTCCCCGGTAGACTTCCCTGCGCTGGGCACAGCGCCGCATAGCGCAGCTTTTCCCCATCTTTCCATGTTCTAGCGGTAGATTCATTCATTCTCATTTTGCACATTTGGAGAGTAGTGGTGGAGCGAGGCCCATATTACTGCAATTCTGCCGTCGTCCCCACTCAACGCCAAGCATCTTTTTTTTTTTACCTCTACTCCTAATTGTAGGCATACCATGTTTTAGCGGAGGATTCCATATGGGGGCGCGCTCCACTACTGTTCACATGCACAAACGACAAAAAATATAGCAATGTATCTTTCCATGTTTTAGCGGAGAATTCAGACTCGTTGTGCACATTTGGTGGGAGTGGAGCGAGGCCCCATATCCCTCCTCCTCCTCCTCTGCCTCCTCCGTCCTCCTCCCTCCTCCTGCTCCTCCTCCTCCTCCTTCCTGCCCGCCCTCCGTCCTCCTCAGCCTTCTGCTCCTCCTCCTTACGCTCTTACGCCATCGTCCTCCTCCCTCCTCCCTCCTTTTCCCTCTCCCTCATTTTCCCTTTTTTTCCGTGCTTTTCCCTCTACCTCATTTCCCCTCCTCACACCTCTTACTGATTGTCCTCCTCTTCCTCCTCCTCCCTCCTCTCCTTACGCTCTTACGCCATCGTCCTCCTCCCTCCTCCCTCCTTTTCCCTCTCCCTCATTTTCCCTTTTTTTCCGTGCTTTTCCCTCTACCTCATTTCCCCTCCTCACACCTCTTACTGATTGTCCTCCTCTTCCTCCTCCTCCTCCTCCTCCTCCTCCTCCTTCTCCCTCCTCCTCCTTCCTCCGCATTGCAACTCATGGATCCTGCTGTTGTTGCTGCGGCTATGGTGGGAGAGATGCAGCCGACTACCATGGCGGTATTGGCCGAAGATGGCGGGAAAGTGTCTGATGGCGGGAAAGTGTCTGTGTCTGATGGCCGGAAAGTGTCTGATGGCCGGAAAGTGTCTGATGGCGGGAAAGTGTCTGATGACGGGAAAGTGTCTGATGGCGGGAAAGTATCTCAATCTCTGGTGCATGAAAGGGATCGGGACGGAGAACAGGAGAGCCAGCGCGTCGTCGACGAAGCAGGCGCAGGCGGCGGCGGAGCCAGCGGAAAGCCCGCGCGTCGCTGCGCATTCTGGATGAGACAAAAAAATCGCTTGTGCGCTAACAACCCCAAGCCGGGGGAGAGGTATTGCGGCAATCACCTGCCGAGCAACACCAGCCGTCGGATTCCTTGCCCACTAGATCCATCTCATTCCATCCGACCTGATGAGCTAGCAGCTCATCGGACCAAATGTCCAGCTGTCAGGCAACAACTGCGCGCCGAGCAGCAGCCGTGTTTCCGCAAGGGCATCAACAGTGGCAGCGGGTCCGGCGACGAAGAGCAAGAGGAAGAGGGGGACAAAGATGAGCGGGGAGAGGAGGAGAAGGAGGAGGAGGAGGGGGAGGAGGAGAAAGATGGGAGAGAGGAGAAGATCGGAGGGGTGTCAATAGGTGCCAGTTCAGGCAATGTCGAGAACACGGGCCATAGCGATGACAACCCCCTTCTTCTCCTTCTTCCTCCTCCTCCTCCTCCCAAAGATCCTTCCCCTTCTCGTCCTCCTCCTCCTCCTCCCAAAGATCCTTCCACTCCTCCTCACAAAGATCCTTTCCCTCCTCCTCCTCAAGATCCTTTCCCTCCTCCTCCTCCTCCTCCTCCTCCTCCACTTCCTCCTTTTTCTGCTTCTGCTGCTTGTGATGCTCTTGCTGAGGCTGCTGGAGGAATAAAAACAGTGAACAAACGGAGGACCGTTAGCAAAGCGATTCCTTCACCGTTTGATTCCGTTAGCGTTCGAAGTCTGAGTCGTAGAGAATTAGAGGCGTTGATCAGAAAGCTGGCAAGAGCGTTCAGCAACCAACGGCTGAAATCGAATCTCCGGAAATCCATCGTTCGACCGCAGAGCTGCCAGAAGTGGTTGGGAGAGGAAAGAGACAAAACTATACCTTTTCAGGAAAGGCACGCCATACAGCAGGCGTCTATTCTAGGAAACTTGGAGCTTGCAGGCCTCCTTCTTAGGCCCAACCAAACGACGACGACAGTGGGAGATCCGCCCAAGTCCAGAGAGAAGAAGGAAGAGGGAGAGAATGGAGAAGAAGAGGGAGAGAAGAAGGAAGAGGGAGAGAAGAAGGAAGAGGGAGAGAATGGAGAAGAAGGGCTGAGAATGGAGGCCCTGGGGAAGAAGATGGAATCATGTTCCACGTCCAGCCAAGGAGGTGGTGAGGAAGACGAAGGAGGAGGAGGAGGAGGAGGAGGAGGAGGAGGAAGGACGAGCAGAGGAGGAGAGGTAGGATTACCAGAGGCAGCAGGAGCATCAAGAGGAGGCAGTGGAGGTGGAAGAGGACGAGGTGGAGGGAGAGGAGGAGGAGGAGGAGGAGGAGGAGGAAGGAGATCAGGACCTGTCTCCAATGGATGTCGGCGAGGAAATCAGCACGACGAAGAGACAAGGACAGGACCGGTACTCGTAAGCAGAAGTGGGTCGGCCTCTGCCATTAAGGCAGACGGATCTCATGGAGGACGGCACGAAGAAGGAGAGGAAGAACTGAAAATGACATCATCATCCTCAACAGGAGGAGAGGAGCGCTGCACAGTCGAGGTCCAGGGCGGAGGTAGCCTGCGAGAGAATGGACGAGGACGGGAGGAAGGGCAAGGAGGTAGGCCGGGCTCTGCCAGTAAGGCAGACGAATCTTATGGAGGAGGGCACGAAGAAGGAGGAGGAGAACGAAAGGGGAGATCACCATCGCCGACAGGAGGAGGAGAGCGGTGCTGCAGAGTAGAGGTAGAAGGACGAGATGAACTAGGAAAGAGTGGAGGGGGAATGGGGGAAGTGAAAGAAGGACGGGAAGGAGAGACTACTAGGAGTAGTAATAGGAGGAGGAGGAGGAGGAGGAGGAGGTGCTGGGGAGAGACGGGTGAACGTGCAATGAAGAGAGTGTATGTGGAGTTTGGAGGAGGACGGGGCTATTTGTCTAACGTGCTAGCCGATTGCTATGGTGTCGAGGAGGTGCTAATTATAGACAAAGGAGGATTCCGGTTCAAGGCCGACAGATCGCTGAGGAAAGCAGAGGGGGTGGTCCGCGTCGAGCGTCTGAGGATGGATATCGCTGACGTGGACATCCGATGTGTTCCGTTCTTGATCGGTCGAAAATTCGTTGGCGTCAGCAAGCATTTATGTGGCGGAGCTACCGATCTCGCTCTGAGGTGCTGTCTCAGAGCAGCCTCTCCCGTCGTGCCCCCACGTGGCACTCTTGCCGCCGCCCGACCGCACGCAAGTTCTGTCGGGATCGGCCGCCGCAACAAAGACATCCACCGCCAGTCCCCTGTTGTCGTCAGCAGCAAAGCAAATACCAGTACCGCACCTGCAGCAGCTTGGCAATCAACGTCCCGATCTCCGACTCGCTTGCAAAAGGATAAGCAAGGGGAGGCGGAGGAGAGGGAAAAGGAGGGAGAGAACGAAAAGAAGCGGCAGCAGCAGCAGCAGCAGGAGGAGGAGGAGGAGGAGGACGACGGGGAGGGGGATAAGAGGGAAGAGGAAGGAGGGAACGAGATGCAGCACCAGCAGGAGGAGGAGGAGGAGGAGAGGGAAGAGGAGGGAGAGAAGGAAAACAAAAGGCAAGAGCAGCAGCAGGAGGAGGAGGAGGAGGAGGAGGAGGAGGAGGAGGAGGAAGAGGACGGGGAGGGGGTTAAGAGGGAAGAGGAGGGAGAGAACGAAATGCAGGAGATGCAGTACCAGGAGCAGGAGGAGGAAGAAAAAGAGGAGGAGGAGGAGGAGGAGGAGGAGGAAGAGAATGAAGAACTGTTCGGCGAAGGTCGAGCTGTTGTCTGTGAGGGTCTAGCAATTGCCACGTGTTGTCACCATCTCTGTACCTGGTCCTCTTATGTGAACAAGAAATTTTTGAGAGGTTTTGGGTTCTCGCCATTGGACTTTGCGGTGATGGCTAGAATGACCTCTTGGGCAGTCACGTCTGACCTGCTGCCACGTGGCACTCTTGGGATGTCAGACCACGAAAGTTCAGCGAAAGATGGAGATCGGGTGGGGGGCCTATCAGGGTGCGAAAAATGGATTTCCGGTAGCGATGTGCGCGGCGGCGGCACTGCTCCTGGAACAATCTTGGAACACCGCAGAGTCCCAGAAGTCCCATCTCGGAGACCTCATGATACCGTATGGGACCAGGACGTTCGGTCCATTCCAGAAGAAGGGCTAGCTGCGTTGATAAGCAAACTGGCAGCGAGCCTGCCTAACGTCACCAAGCCGTCATTACATAGAGACTACCCCTGCTTTTCCTCCTCTACCTCCGTCTCATCGTCCTCCTCCTCCTCCTCTTGCTCCTCCTCCTGCTCCTCCTCCTGCTCCGCCTCCTCTTCTTCGTGCCTTGAACTCTCATTAGCCGGAATGCTTGATCCCACTGCCAGGGATGCCACAGCCAAATCTGCGACCAAGTTCCATGAACCGGAATTCGGCCTCCCCGTTCATGAACAAAGTGAGAAAGAAGAACGTGGAGGACAAGGAGCAGCAGCTGGAGGAGAGGGGGGGAAGGGAGGAGCAGCAGCAGCAGGAGGAGGAGGAGGAGGAGGAGGAGGAGGCAGACGTGCGAGAAAACCGAACCAGCAGCACATCGTTTTCGGCGATAGAGGAGAACGAGGAGGAGAAGAAGAAAGAGGAGAAGCAGGAGGAGGAAAAGAAAGAGGAGGAGGAGGAGGAGGAGGAGGAGGAGGAGGAGGAGGAGGAGAGGAAGAAAGAGGGAAAGGAGGAGGAGGAGGAGGAGAAAAAGGAGCAGGAGGAGGGGGAGGAGTAGGAGGAGATGGAGAGAGAGGTGAAAGTGTAGGAGGTGGAGGACAAGAGGTAGAAAAACGGGAGCCGAGGAGACGCGAGGATGGCTTGGCCAAGATTCCCATCGCTGGTGTTGACGTCTACGAAATCGACGAGGAGGGAGGGAGGAGTTCCACTTGTGCTGTCAGCAGCAGTGCAAGATTGGCAGCCACGTGGCATAATGGTAGCGGTGCCAGTCTAGAGGCTGAGCAGCAGAATGGCGCCCGTCATCACAGTCGTCGTTCTTACAATCGTCTTCAACCTCCTGATCATCATCAGGAAGAGAAGTACTCGGATCTGCTATCCCCGACGGACAAGATGGTGTTAGGTCGTGCGTGCAAGAAGCTGCTCGATGTCGGTCGATCTGTGTGGTTGGAGGAACAAGGCATGAGTACGGATCTCCTCGTATATGTCCCGGACCACGTGTCTCCGGAAAATCGTCTTTTAATAGCCAGGTGGAAATAGAGATCCCGGACCACATCCTTGATGTCGGTCGATCTATCTCTTTGTTTGGAGGAACCACGCATGAGTTCCAATCTTGTCGTGCATGTCCTCGAGCAACGTATCTCCATACAACCGTCGTCTCCTAATTGCCACGTGGCAGTAGAGATCCCGGCCGACACGCAGGTCATGGGGTATAGGCAATATTCTCTCCCCGAGGACAGCTGTCCATCAAGGATATGTTTGTTTTTTTTTTTCTTTTTTTTCTTTTTTTTCTTTTTTTTTTTTAACACTTGTACCTTTGCCACGTGGGAAAGCAGCCGGCCTCGGGTGGGCCTCCGATCTTTTCGGAGGCCGGAACGAAACGAGGGCTGCCGATCAGACTTAGGGTCAGATCCCACTACCCTGGATTATTCAATTTTCACCCTCGATTACGAAGATCAACGGTCCGAAATGAACAATAGGGGATAGTGGGATCTGGCCCTTATCAATGGCAGCCGGCGATCGGATTTATCAACGGCAGCCACCGTTGTCGGGCCCGGCCTCCGAATTTTTAGGAGTTTGGCAAAACTGCCACTTTTCCTTTTTTTTTTTTTCTTTTTTTTTTTTTTTCTCCTTCTCTCAATTTCACCTCACACTACCCACCTACCACTACTAATTGTAGGCATACGGGGAACCCCGTAGCAGCCAGAACCGTGTTCACGAGAGAACATGAGGGGGCTGCTCCCGACCTGCAGGTGGGCTATACCGGCTAGGGGACAGCCGGTAGCATCAGGGACCATGCCAACAGGACCAATCCCTGTGCCTCCCCTCAGGTCCCCTCCCCTATGAACATCAGCAGACTGGACACTGGCGGAGGTACTAGGATAGTTTTTTTGGAACGTAGAATATGTGCGCCAAGCATGGCCAGGAAGGCCAATGGAGATTGAACTCACGCCCTCCTGAATGCCACTTGCGAGCCTTACCAACCGATCTAGGCCGTTGGATCAGAGCCAAGCTCGAATCCAGATGGAATCAGATGCACAGAATAAAATAAATATTAAATTTTGAATTGCCTGGGGGACGTCAGTTGAGCGATGACATATCAGGGCCGTCGCCCTTTTGAAAAAACAAAAAAAAAAAAATCTTTTTTTTTACTGTTGAGCACGCCAAAAGATTTGGAAGGGCACAAAACGGAGCAATCAATCCTGGCAAGTGGGACCTTGCCGCCAGGGCCAAGTGCCACTCCCTCCCCCTCCCCTCCCCCCCGCTCCCCCCCCCTCCCCCACAAGGTGATTTCAAGGTTCTGGGTGGTGAATGAAGAACTAATCGGTACAAATTGTTTGTGCTTTGAGCTCTATATACCGTCTTCACCTTAAACCACCAGTACTTCCTAGAGTCGTGCCCGTAAACGCGCCATGATTTGAGGAAACGTACGGGCTACTACAGGAGCGCCCAAATCCATCCGACTAGAAATGTTTCTACTCTTTTTTTTGCCGCGGCCGATAGCCAGGCCAAGTACTGGTGGTTTAAACAACCACTACCGCCACCGGCCTAAATTCAGCTTTCCTGGCCTTACGGACCGGGTTTTTAGGGGGGGCGGCAGCCGGCGCAGGCGGGTCGGGTGTAAGGATTTTCAAGTGCCAAATTTGGCGATTTTTCACGCCCAGAAGAATTGAGAAAAAATCTGAAAATTTGAGATCCTGTAGATTAGATTGTGATCCTTTTGACTGCTGCCGTCAGCCCGGAAAGGTGCGCCAGCATGCAAGCCACGACTCGTGTAGATTAGATTGTGATCCTTTTGACTGGTGCCGTCAGCCCGGGAAGGTGCGCCAGTATGCAAGCCACGACTCTCGGACTCTGGAACAATAGTTGGGTAATGCATTGGTGGTTTTAGGTTTTACTACATTTCAACAAACGAATGATGCTATCTCCATTTTTGCAAATGTCGTTTCCCGTGTTTGCTGCACGGTCGTTCTCTTCTTTTCCTGTGGCTACAGTGTATTGAGTTTTTTTTGGGGAGGGGGAAAGAAAAAAAAAAAAAAAAAAAAAAAAAAAAAAAAAAAAAAAAAAAAAAAAAAAAAAAAGAAATAGAGAGAGAGAGAGAGAGAGAGAGAGAGAGAGAGAGAGAGACAGATAGAGAGAAAAAAAAAAAAAAAAAAAAAAAAAGGGGTTTTGGCCCTTTTTGGGAAGTTCAGCGTTTATTACCAAAACAATATAGCAAGGCCAGGGGCCCTCAGAAATTCAACCAATATGGCAATATCGCCAGTTCGAGTCTGCAAGCAAGCACGGAGGACGGCTGAGGGCCGAGGCCCAGAGGCACTGTTCCGATGACTTGACATGACATGAAATGACAATATCAGAGGCAACGAACTGAGGGCCATTATTGAGTTTCAACGATTGCTGGAAAACAGGTTTGTACCAGACCTGTCGGACTCCCATCTGGAAATTTGATCCGATGGAATTTGCAAATCACCCCTGAAGGGCGTGAGTCGACCGCAACGCCCTTCTGACAAATGACAAATTTTGTGAAGTACCCTGCGCTTTGATTGGACCCGTCTTCTCTGCAATAGGCCGCTATCCGGCACCTGTGCAGTTCTCAAAATGCCCTACCTTCTGCAGCCGGTGTTGTATTCGGCTGAAGAAGGTAGGGCATTTTGAGAACTGCACAGGTGCCGGATAGCGGTCTATTGCAGAGAAGACGGGTACTTCAAAAAAAATTGTCATTTGTCAGAAGGGCATTCCGGTCGACTCATGTCCTTCAGGGGTAATTTGCAAATTCTGCAGTTTCCAGTCTAGTTACGACTGTGATTAATACCGGGCGTTCTCTTCAGGTGAAGACAGTAGTGTCAGCAACTTGGACTCGAAGTTGGCAAACGCAATCCCACATACAAAGGTTCTTGTAGCATAACATTGCGAGAGGTGATCAGATCAAGCAAATCAACGACGAAAACACGCATAAGATAAGCAACTATGAGAATAATCAGTTTCTGCAAATAGCATTACAACTTTCAGAGCAAAAAAAAAAAAAAAAAAAAAAAAAAAAAAAATTTAAAAAAAAAAAAAAAAAAAAAAAAAAAAAAAAAAAAAAGTTTCAGAGCATTAGATCAAGCAAATTACCGTAGTAAACAAAGCATGAGATAGACAATTATGAGAATACTCAGTAGAATCAGCTTCTGCAAATAGCATAACAAGTTTCAGAGGACGACTTGACAGACTGAGGTGGGCATTCTAGATAAGGTTGGAAACATTCTAGAGAAGGTTGGAAACATTCTAGAGAAGGTTGGAACATTCTAGAGAAGGTTGGAAAAGCGACGAGAGGTATGTTTCAAACAGACGTAAACGATGTAGCAAGATGATGGGATAGAGAGAAAGAAAAGGGTAGTTTCACAACAGATTTATGACGGGCCCAATTGATTTTCTACAAACTCCTACATGTCTTTGTTTTGACCCTCAAGTGTCGGAGGGGAAAGTAGGACTAACATCTCTCTCTCTCTCTCTCTCTCTCTCTCTCTCTCTCTCTCTCTCTCTCTCTCTC